CTTGAGCCACAGCACCACTTCCGGCTTTTTTCTTTTTGCTTATGTGGTGCTGAGGAATCGAACCCAGGGCCTCATACATGCAAGGCAAGCGCTCTGTCACTGAGCCACCTTCCCAGCCCCCTGTTAGTAAAATTTTAACAGTGAGAAGTGACTACTCAAAGGTAATAGCTGGAAAGAGGAACAGATGTGATACTAGTGGGAGGCAGGAAGTAGATTATAGCAGTTACAATTAATTGAGGCTAATTCCAAGATTTGTAAAATTTAGAGCTTTTGTATATTGGGCTTGGACTCTGGGCCTTGGCGCTATTCCTGAGCTCTTCAGCTCAAGGCTAATACTCTACCACTTAAGCCACAGCACCACTTCTGGTTTTCTGGTGGTTTATTGGAGATGTTTCACAGACTTTCCTGCCCAGGTTGGCTTTGAAACATGATCTCAGATCTCAGCCTTCTGAGTAGCTAGGATTACAGGTGTGAGCCCCCAGCGCTCAGCTAACTCCTCCGGTTTTTTTGTTGTTGTTTTTGTTTTTGGGGGGTTGTGGGGCTTGAACTCTGGGCCTGGGCGCTGTCCCTCAGCTCTTCAGCTCAAGGCGAGCGCTCTACCACTTGAGCTACAGCACCACTTCCGGTTTTCTAGTGGTTTATTGGAGATAGGAGTCTCACGGTCTCTCCTGCCCGGGCTGGCTTTGAACCGCGATCCTCAGATCTCAGCCTCCTGAGTAGCTAGGATTACAGGCGTGAGCCACTGGTGCCCAGCAAGGCCATGGAACTCTTATCTCCAATAAACCACCAGAAAACTGGAAGTGGTGCTGTGGCTCAAGTGGTAGAGCACTAGCCATGTGCTGAAGAGCTGAGGGATAGTGCCCAGGGAGCATAAGAGAAAAGAGAGATAGGAAAAGAAGATAAGGAAAGAAAGGAAGAAAAAAGAATTACATGTGCTAAATATGCTTAAAAGAACATTTTCTAGTACCTTAGAATAACAAGTTAGGCCAGATAATAGTGTCTCTGTTACTGTTCATACAGTGTAGTTACAGGTCATAGAAGAAGCTTTGAAGATCAATCAGGCTAATTTTCACCTTCTAATTGAACAAAGTAGTCTACGTGGGTCTTCATAGCTGTTCATAAATTTGTTTATTCAGAAAATTTGAACAAAGGCATTAACAAATATTCACCACATTATCTGTCTGTCTGTCTGTCTGTCTCTGTCTGCCTGTCTATCTAGTGTTGGTCCTGAGGCTTGAACTTAGGGACTGGGTATAGTCCCTGAGCATTTTTGCTCAAGGGTAGTGCTCAAGGCTAGCACCCTACCACTTGAGCCATAGCGCCACTTCCAGCCTTTTCTGTTTATGTGGTGCTGAGGATCTGAACCCAGGGCCTTATGCATGCGAGGCAAGCACTCTACCACTGAGCCACCTTCCCAGCCCTCAATATGTTTTTTAAAGGAATGTTTTTGTTCTGCGATAGCCTTGTATTTTGCTGATAAAATACTAATATATAAGATGGCACAAAGCTGAAGACCATTCAAATTATATACCTTTATATTGAAAGTCCAATGTCTAAAAAAATGGCCCTCTAACTTCTGTGTGAATTCTTTTTTTGGTGGGGGGGGCCTGGACTTGGTGCTTGAATTCTGGGCCTTGGCATTGCCCCTGAGTTCCTTTTGCTCAAGGTTTGATGCTTACCATTTAAGCCACAGTGCCACTTTTGGTTTTTTGGGGGTAATTTATTGGAGATAAGAGTCTCATGGACTTTCCTGCCCAGGCTGACTTCAAACTACATTCCTCAGATCTCAGCCTTCTGAATAGCTAGGATTATAGGTTTGAGCCAACTAGAGCCAGCCCTGTGTGAATATTTAAGAGTTTGTTTCTCTGTTTGTTGGACAACTCTCATTCTTAAATTTTTTTCTCCCCTATATTCAGTCCAAATCTGTCTCCATGTATTTTTAGACTGATGTCTTTTAGAGCAATCCAAGAAAAGATCTTGTGCTTGCAGATGGCATCCTACCAAATAGCTTAAGAAACTATAACTCCTTACTTCTTATGCCTGTTTTTTTTCCCATTTTCTTTAGCTGTTTGTTTTGAGATAGTAAGCTCATTCTGATCAAGCTAATTTCTTTCTTTTCACTCCTTCCTTTTAGATCAGTGCTAGCTTGTCAGTCTGTTCAGGAAGCATGTATACAGGCACTTAGAGGAAATACCAAGAGTCAGTTGTTCTCTTTCTTCAAAGGATTATTCTCTGCCATTCTCATGAAGAAAATAGGCATTCAGACTTAAAGCATGTAATGGTGTTCTTTTGCAGCCCAGGCTTTGCTCTTACATTCAAGGTTAACATTGCAGACTGTTAGAAACAATCTTGGGGGGCTGGGAAGGTGGTTCAGTGGTAGAGTGCTTGATTTGCATGCATGAGGCCCTGGGTTCAATTCCTCAGTACCACATAAGCAGAAAAAGTGGCACTCTGGCTCAAGCAGTATAGTGCTAGCCTTGAGCTGAAGAGCTGAGGGACAGCGCCCAGGCCTAGAGTTCAGGCCCATGATTGACAAAATAAATAAGTATATAGTAAAAAAAAAATAAAAATAAGGAAAACAAAAAAAGAAACAATCTTGTATCAAGATACATTCTTCCTGCAGCATTACAGTGATACTCATGATTCCAGAACTCTGGGAACACCTATCAGTATGGTAAATCTACTCCCCAGAGAAGAGTTAGCCTTGATGTCTTTCTGATGGAATGGAGTCAATATTTAAATGATTCAAAATCGGTGACTTGTTAAGTATGTGGGCTATATGTTACTTACTGATTATAGTTATCATTCTACTACCTTCATTTTTTTCTGTATTTAGGGTCGTCGGGCAGTTAAAGCAGGTGCTTATGCCTCTTGCCAAGAAGCAAAGGAAGACATAAAGGTAACTTTCTCCATTAAGACAGAGAAAACTTTATTAAGAATATGTCCTAAGAGACCAAAGCAAGCAGAGCGATCTTATTGTTAAAGTAGCTTGATACCCTAAGTAAAGATAGGATCTGGGTACTTTGACTGAGTTTGGAACTACCATGGTTGTGTGATTCACATTTTTGAAGATTAGACCACTTGGTTAAAAGCAAAATTTATATACTTTAAAAAAATTGTTCCTTTCACTTGTAGAGTCACTCAGAAAATGTCTCTCAACATCCGCTTCACGTAGAAGTATTACACTCTGAGGTTATGGCTCATCAGAAATTTGCTTTGCGTCTTGGTTCCTGGATGAACAAAATTATGAGCTATTCAAGTAAGCTTGCAGCCTGTTTATATTGTTTCAAGTAAAATTTTTGTAGTTTTTAATGGCCATACATTTTTAATATCATTGAAATTTCATTTTCTGCCTAGTGTTCATTTTGATTGCTTTCCACTGCATTTCAAATATATAAATATTCAGTAATATCATTTTTTGTCTGGAGTCTTTGATGTTGCCACAGTTATTCCTGACATCAAACACAGGAACATTACTGTTAGTCTTTTCACATGTTATTATAGGAAATACACTTTGAGGATACAATCAGTTTAAAATTACCTGACATACATTCTTAGGAGTTAAAATATATGTCTATCTATAGGTGAATTTAGGCAGATCTTTTGCCATGCCTGCCTTAGAGAAGAACATGGCTCTGAGAATCCCTGTCTCATAAGCAGGTTAATGCTCTGGGATGCAAAGCTTTATAAAGGTAAGTAGACTCTTAGTTATGCTATTCTCCAGGGAATCAAAGGATTATGATTTTTATATTGAATCAGTTATTAGTCTATCATTTTGATTGATATGCTAGTATAGGTTAAGGAAGATTAATCAATATACTTGTATTTTTCTGGGCTGAAAACCCAGTCCATGCCTTTTGATTATAGTATCTTTTCATCTAGCCAAGACAAGCTAAAAGAATGAGTATAATTTTATGTAGTATAATTTTATGTAGTAAAGCATTTGTTCAAGCTATGTTTTCATTTAAAATATCTAAATGAGGAGCAGAAAGTAAAAGATGGATGTGAAGCTTAAGTATGAAAAAGGAAAAGTACATGACCAGAATAGTTTTGCGTGAAACAGTGAAAAGAAATGAAAAAGTTTAAAGAGGAGTAAAATAAATGTTGCAGAGAAAGTAAATAGGCACTGGTGGCCTCACACCTGTAATCCTAACTACATAAGAGGCTGAGATTTGGAGGATTAAGTTCAGAACCAGCCTAGGCAGAAAAATCTCCAAGGCTCCGTCTCTGAAAAGCTGGCAAAAAGTCAGACTGGAAACATGACTCAAGTGGTAGAGTGGCAGCTTAGCAAGCAAGTTAAGTATGTGCGAGACCTTGAGGTCAAACCCTGGTACTGACAAAAAAATAAATAAATACAGCAAGCCATGGTGGTCACGTCTGTAATCCAGCTATTTGAGAGGCAAAGATTATAGGAGGATCCCAGTTTTGAGGCCTTCCCTGGTAGAAAGTTAGCAAGACCGTATCTCAACAAATAAAGCCTGGAATGGTGGTTCATGTCTGTAATCTCAGCTATGCCAGAGACATAAGTAGTAAGGTTATGGCCTAAGGCACACCTTGGGTAAAGCTTGAGACCATATCTAAAATAAAAGCAAAAAAATGCTTGGAGGGCTGGGAAGGTGGCTCAGTGGTAGAGCGCTTGCCTTGCATGCATGAAGCCCTGGTTTCGATTCCTCAGCACCACATAAGCAAAAAGAAAAAAGCCGGAAATGACGCTGTGGCTCAAGTGGTAGAGCGCTAGCCTTGAGCTGAAGAGCTGAGGAACAGTGCCCAGGCCCAGAGTTCAGGCCCCATGACTGGATCCTCCCCCCCCCCCCCAAAAAAAAAGGCTTGGAGTTTGGAGGGCATGGCTCAGATGGTAGAGCAGTTACTAGAGGCTCTGAGTTCAAACCCTAGTGCCACCACAAAAAAAAGAGGCAACATGGTAATACATGTTTGTATTTGTTTTCTGTGTGTTATGTTTTACTATACTAACTACTACTCATGATTGCCCTTGAGATCTATTAACATGTGAAATATTCTTAATAGTATTTTACCATTTCTAATGACTGGGATAATTTGTTTTTCTTTGGTGATATCCCATCATCCCTGCTTCCCAAATAACCTATAGGTGCCCGGAAGATCCTTCATGAATTGATCTTCAGCAGTTTTTTTATGGAGATGGAATACAAAAAACTCTTTGCCATGGAATTTGTGAAGGTAATTGCTCTTCATGAACAAATATCAGTAAACAAAAATAGAAGGTAGCTTTTAATAAATGAGACAATAAGAACAATGGCTTCATGATGATCATAAAGAGTTTTGTGATTAGTTTCTTTTTTTATTAGCTTTCATTAGTTTGTTACACATGTTTGCAACATATTCCAATCAGTCTCTCCCCCTCTTACTGTCACCTCTCTCTGCCCTCCTTCTTCCTTTCCAAAACAGTTTCAACTTATTTCATTGTTCTGTATTCATAGTTGCAAATAATTGATTTCAATAGTATTCAACCTCTATTCTCCTCTGGTTCATTTCTTTTTCTTTATTTTATGTTACATAAATCTGTTCACGGATGGTAAAATGGAAAACACAGTTTAGGCCTAGATCCCAAGAACCAGCAAAGGAGAGTTATTCAGTCACATGTATATTCATCCCTATTAATTAATTATTTATTTGCCTGTTAGTAAATTTTGTTTTTTGGGGGGGTCCAGTCATGAGTCCTGAACTCTGGGCCTGGGCGCTGTCCCTCAGCTCTTCAGCTCAAGGCTAG